GGGTATGTCTACACTACAGGATTAATCCGAATTTAGATAATTCGAATTTGGGAAACAGGTTGTATAAATTCGATTGTGCGCGGCCACACTAAGCACCTTAATTCGGTTTTAAACCACATTAATTCGGTGGTGTGCGGCCACACTACCCCATTAACTTAAACACAGTAATTCGGTGGTGTGCGTCCACACTAACCCTAATTCGAATTAACAAAATCGATTTAGGCTCTACTCCGTTCGTCGAGGTGGAGTACAGAAATCGATTTAAAGGGCCCTTTAATTCGAATTAACTGGCTCTGTAGTGTGGACGGGTGAAGGGTTAATTCGGATTAAGGCAGCTAAATCCGAATTAAAGTCCTAGTGTAGACCAGGCCTAAGGGACCGGGAGGCCTTTGACTGGAAGGGAGGAGAGGAGCAGCGGGTGACTATAAGCTCGAGGGAAGGGATCCAAAACTTTTTTACATGTTGGATCCTGTGCTCTTCTGCCCGTAATGGCCTTGGCATTGCATTACAGACCCCCCCAGCACCCCGCACGCCATCCAGACTGTATCAGCCATCCCCCACGCCACAGGGGCTCTGACAAAGAACATCCAAACGCACTCGATGGAGAATAAAACTTTCATCCATCAGAAATAACCTTCCCCCTCCCAGTGCCAGTCCAGAAGCTCTGATACCACGACGCTGGGCGCGGTACAAGAATCTGAGTGGAACAGACTAGATGTGCCAGATGCCAGCTCAATATCAGCAGCTAGTCCTAGTAAGTGGTTTTGCCCAATCGGTCCCCAGCACAAGTGACCGGTCCTGGGGATTTCTCACCACAAGGGCAGCCTGTTTACTTCACGCAGCTCATCTGAGCACCAGTTCCCTTAGCAAAGTCAGACGGTTTATGCAAGGGGAGTTTCCTGTCAATTCCCTTCTTCCTTTTGGGATAAGTAGCTACAATTCAGTTCTCTCCAAGCTCTGAAATCAAGGCTCAGAAGTTGGAAACCCCCACACATATGCCATGTAACAATCTGGACAGTGAAATGTACCAACAGGACTTGACATGTCGTCTCACCACAACTTCCTCCTGAATTCCTGACATCATGCCATTAGCCTGGATTGTGAACTCCCCATTGGTCAGGGACTGACTTACTGGTACCATGCCCAACACAACGGAGCCCAGACACTGGCTGAAACACACACACCCCGCCCCCTGGCGGGGCCACAGTCCAAATAATAAAACCATGGGGCCGCAGGTTTAGTTTTACCATATTTTAGCTTGTGCCTGCTACAAACACACGTGCACACCATCTGCCAAGATCCATAATACACAGCACAAGTGTGTACGTGCTCCTTAATTCCTGAATTATATCCTGCAAAGATCATCCAAGGTACAATGTGCCCGATTCACTGGTACTTGTGTCACCTGTGCAAAGCAGGTGCATGCTGCTACCCGATCGGAACGCACGGGGATCACTGACGGTGCAAGGTAAAGGAGAATCAATTCCCACGTCTAAAGCTGCCACGTCCCTTTGCTATCATGTCCGTGTTAGCAGAACCCACGCGTCCCAAGGGGACACATTAAAACCTGCCTCCTGTCAGGGTGACGGAGCAGATAAAGACCCAGCTGCTGGACCCAAGGGCTCTGCTTTGTGCACTGAATACAGCAGCACCTCCAATGGCTCCTGGCCCTCAGAGTCATGGAAGTGGATAACTGGACCCTAAGATCAGAGGGGGAGCCGTGTTAGTCTGGATCTGTAAAAAGCAACAGAGTCCTGTGGCACATTAAAGACTAACAGATGTATTGGAGCATAAGCTTTCGTGGGTGAATGCCCACTTCGTCAGACGCATGTAATGAATCCTGGATCAGGCCCAGGTTAGTCCACATCTCTGCCCCAGCGAGGAAGAAGACACCAGTGGAGGCATTAGAGAACTTACCCTGAAAGCAGCCAGCGGGTCTCTCTCTTCCCATCACATGGTGGAACGGCTACTGCAACCCTCACACAGGCCAGGCAATGTCAAGCCAGTGCCTTTGTGCTGTGATTTCTGGACCCAGCTGAGTTCATGTCTGGGCGTCCTCTGCTCCCCAGCGCAGACATGCCTCAGGGGCACCCGTGCAGGATGCGGCACAATCCCTAGAATGCCAAGATCTTTCTGGCAGCTTCCTAATCCTTGTAACTGTTAATAGCTGCACTAAACCAGCTTGTGTCATCCACCCCAGTTCTTTTTGCTCTTAAAGGGACAGCCCCTTCCCCGGCTGACACAGCAAACGGGAGTCAAAGCAGGAGACTTCCCAGCATATGAAAAGAGGGGTCAGTGGGGTTAGACATGGGAATAACTTGGGGAAATTTTGGGGGTGGAGCCAGCAGCGTAAACTTGTTCTGCTGACCCCCATTTTCAAACCGTTGGTGGATGGGGCACCACCAGGATCCTGAGTTCTAGTCTCATCTCTGCCACTGATCTGATGTGTGACCATGGGGGCAGATCATGTCTGCTTTCTATGCCTCAGTTTCCTCATCTGTAGTAGCCTTGCAAAGTGCTTTGAGATCTATGGATGAAAAAAGTCAATGCAGGAGCTAAGCTGTATTATTGAGGATCAGATTTAAAGGGAATTTTATCCAGCTGTTTTAAGGTCCCCTGCCACAGTCGGTGTCTTGTGACCAGCAGGGGGTCAGTTCTGTCCTCCCACTAGGTCAAATACCTTTGGTGGGAGTTGGGGAAACTTCTTCTCTTTTGATTAAATGCAAGTCAGGATCCTTACAAACATGGGAACAGCGACCACAAATTGACCGAAAACAAGCTGAGAAACACCTGTGTCCTACAGAAATACATTAACCAACACCAGAGGTCAGTCAGCACTGCCCGGCGCCTTCGGCACTTGTCACACCCGGGGCCAAGCAGGTTTAACAGCCTACTACACAGAGATGGTAGCTTGCTGCACTCCGCTGCAGGACGAAGAGGAATCGGACCCTCTTTCCTTACCTGACCAAAGGCAAAGGGAGATGCGTACACACCTTCGCTTGTTGGGAAAGGACACCCCTTGCCATGACATGGCACTCAGCTATCCAGAGCCGGACTGGAACCCCCAGCTGGGAGAAGCCCTGACTGCCTTTATGATGAGCAGGAGACACTTTGCTCCGCAGTGCTGCAGGTAGTATTGGCCTGCTTTGGAAGACAGGCAAGTTGGTGCCAGACTTGGGCTGGTGACCAAGGCCCCATTAGAAGAGTTAAACCGACACTTTGCACCAAATGTCTCGCCTGGCACAGGCCTGGGCCCCTGTCAAAGCAGAGGACAGCGTCTGAGCTTCTGAGCAGTGGAGGCAACGGTGAGGTATTGCCTGAGCACTTGCTCCAGGGCAAGATGGGATTGCAATTGCCACCCTTGCCCCTGCAACAGCGCTGCAAGGAAGCTGGTGCAGGACAATGTGGGCATGGGGGAAACGAGACTAGCCCAGGGGGCCGGGAAGGACTGGCCACAGCTCCAAATCTGGGCTTTGTTATGGAAATGAAACGGCAACTAGCCCCTTGGCCAGGAGTCAAGGGCTGAATGGGGCCCGAGCTCCCCACCTACCCCAGAAGGGGGCTGCCAGGGCAGGGCTGGGCAGGGCAGAGGGCCCTGCCTCAGAGAAGCTAACTCTGCCACTGCCCATGCTGACCCTGCTCTGAGGGTAGACAGGCTGTGGTCTCCAGGCAGCATCGAGCCCAAAGGGTTAATGGTTCAAGCCCTGTTCTCATGCACCTCTGGTTCTGTTTGTTTGTTCTGAATACAGACAATAATTAGCTTAACTGCCTTTTAATTAAATGAGCCCTCTGAATGAGAGCAGCAGATCCCACAGACTGG